TTAATAATCTTGGAAATAGCATCCCTCTCCCTTTAATTGTGTCTAATTTTCAGAGACTACCTGCATCTTGAAGTTTCATGGCAAGGTTTTTAAAAACTGGTTTGCCACTGCTTCTCTCTTAGGGTTGAGAATGAATGACTGGCCCAAGACCACCCAGCTGGCTTTGTGCCTATGGGAGGGCAACTCATGGACTCCTGGTTTCTAGCCTGATGCTTAATACCAACTGGATCTCTCAGTAATTTATACAGTACATTCATAAAGATAAATGTGTATACCATTTATATAAACCATGATTAAAATGAATATAAATGTACACATTCACAAAGATGATGATAGTCACGGTTTTAAAAAAATAGTTACTATAATAATTCAAATAAAAATCTTTATATTGTCATGGTACAATAATTGGCATGACATCTGTGCTAAATACCAGAAAGGTAGGGAGGTAGAAAGGATATATAGAAATATTATTTGAAACAAAATGGGCTGATTATTTGATTGGTCAGTGACGCCCATGACAGAAAGGAAAATAAAACTCTGAACTGACACCTAAATGAGACTTCCTCATTCTGGGATCCCTTCCAAATGTATTGGCTAAGAAATCAGGAAACTGAAATCCAACCTACCTTGAGGGCACCAGATTGTGAAGGCTAATATAAGGCTTGAATTTACAACCTTCAATTCTGAACCCTGTATCAAATATATAGCAAATGAACTCTCTCACCTATGGCTTTTTTTGAACCTGAAATATTACAGTAGTCAAAAATCTATATGATTTCAAACAATGCAATGGAATGTATTTAGTTTTCAGTTTTATGAATTCCACATTCTTCTGTTTCAGAGATGCATAACTTTGATCCCTATCAATTTTCAACGTGACAGGAAAAAATGAATAAATATAGAGACAGTAAATGTAGTTTCATATTTTGGAGTCAGATGTTTTTCTCCCAGCATGTTGCTCATGGTCAAGGGGAACTCTTGATTGGAAAATAAAGCTGAGCATCTGTTTACATGCTAAAACAGCATTAGACTTTATCTAATGCAGTTTTTTTTGAAATTACAATTGTTTTGTAATTATAATAAATGGGTTAGGTTGGCGTAGAATCACAATTAGAAGGAAGGCAGGAGGGGTATGACTCTTTCCACCTCAATCTTTACAGATTAATACCCTTCACTCTGGTCTCTAAGATAAATAACTTGAGATAAGATGGTGAAAGTGTTGCTTTGCTTAGGGCCCAGTGTCTGGTGCCTGCTCTTCCTGCATTCTTTCACACAGCATTAGAAAGTAGGGAGAAAAGGCGTGTAGGAATTGATCCCCTTGTATTTTAACTAAATATATGGCTTGATTTGGGGCAGGAGGACAAATCGACTAGAAGATCTGCATGTTCTTTCTGCCACTCTAAGAGCAGGACAAGACCTTAGCAACAATCTGCAAACTGAGTCCTTGGTGCTGTCTGAGCTTGGTTGTTTTCTTGCAGACATTTCATTACTCAACTAGGCAATCTCATCAGTAGCCGAAGGAAGTGGGGAGTAGAGTCCCAAAACTCCTGTTGGTGGTTGTGTGATTGAAACTCTGCCTCTTTTTAATATGCATTGTGTTTCTGTTTTTTACACAAAGTGGCAGTGTTTCAATTGTATATTTCTGGCAGCCATTACGACTTTTTAAAAAATGCCATCCTCCTGAGGATGCTCCTGGACCAGGTCATTAGATATTTAGTAGTGGCCTTGAGCGCTCCTGATCATTCTTCCTGTAATCTCACAGGGATTTGACTTAAAGATGGCAACCACGCAGATGCAAAATAGAATCTGTGGCGTTCATGATGCGTAAACACCTTTGCTCCATGTCTAGAAATGCGGTTTGGCTCATGTGCTGGTTCTGCTGTGAAATGAAATTTGAGAATAAATGGCTGGGCTTAAGCATAAATAGGATGAAGATGATATGCCCAAATTAGAAAAAGCTGCTGAATGCTCTATCCAAGTTAAATTGCAAACCAGAGAGAATGTTTATTTCTTAGAAACCTGCCACTTCAGATTCTGAGGGACAAGCAGCTCTTGTGGAAAAGTACAGCAGCATAAACTTGGTTTATTATTTAAGAAAGCCAAAGACAATAGAAGTAAACACGGCTATGCCTTTTTCTCTTAGGACTGGAGATATTTCACACTTCTATTTATAAATACTTGTCAGCTTTGTGTCCTTTTACAATGGTTGCACAAAGACAGGAGGTTAAAACAAAACAAAAAAGTCCTCTTTTGGTTTATGCCTTTTATAGTTATTAAAAAAGGGATCATGTCAAATCTTTTTTCAATCTTGTTAATTTTGAATAGGCGGTCAGCAACATTGAGATGTAAAGTCGCATTACAAATGACTTACCTATAGCCATCTTAGTCCCAACAATATTTATAATTTGATATATTCCACAATTGCCAATTTCAAAATACTATCTATATTTGGGGCAAGATTGAAAAGGACAGACACGACTGAAAAGGCTACAGTGCTACTGCAGTATCTCACTATCTGGGATTCATTCCTGCCCTATACAGGTAGCACTTGACTAAAGCCCCCAATTTAGACTAGAACTTTCATTGCTAAGCAAGGCGGTTGTTAAATAAGCCAAGCCCAATTTTATCTTTTTTGGCATGGTTGTTAAGCAAATCACTATAATTGTCTCAGTTCTCCCACTATTTGCTTGTCAAAAAGCCAACTGGGAAGGTCTCAAATGACAATCCCATGACCCTGGGATGCTGCAACTATCATAAATGCATGCCAGGTGCCAGAATTTTGATCATGCGACCATGGGGATGGCCCGACAGTTTTAAGTGCGAAGACGGGTTATAAGGTACTTTTTACAAATGGTTGTAAGTTGAAGACTACTTATATTAACAGGGTAGTCGATCTTCATGGAGCTCAAGATCAGGCTGGGGCTAATAAATTTGCAGCTATCAGCCAGAAAACAGAAAAACCTGGGGAGAAGGCTCAGTTCCTGATTGGACTACTGACTTCAGCTCCTTTAAGTCACACGAGTATTACTGGAAAAAAACAAAGCCATTGAGCCTCCTTAAGGCCCTAGTGATGCTTAAGAGTTGGTCTAATGGCCATCAAGCATAGCCACATCCCTAGGCAAAGAGATTTTTTTCCATATAATCTTACCTGTAAACAACCTGAGCATATCATAAGATTACAAATTATAATGAGGTGCTAGGTTTTCAATCTGTTTTGTTATATAAAATGGTTTCCAATGCATCTTTTATAAAAAAATAAATTTGATTGTCATTGTGCTTAGTCAATGTAGGATGATTAAACTTAAATTTAGGCTAGTATTTGGAAAGACTAAATTTGCAGGCTGGACTTGAAAACTAAAACAATCCTAGAAAAAAGCAATGGCAAACATAAAATCATGTTGTGTAACTTTTTTTTTTTTTTTTTTGCTATTCCTCATATCAAGTGATAACTTGCTAATACACCCAGAGTGATATTTATTTTTCATCTTGTTATTTAAAAAAAAAACCCTAAAATTTAATCACAGTTAATTCGTTCCACATTTTGGAACTTATTCAACTTTTTAGAAAGAAGAAAAGAAGAAACAAGAAGAAAAACTCAATTCAAAAAAAACAAGCAATTTTCAGTTTGAAAAATACTGGAAAGGAACAATGAAAAAGGAATACTGGAAAAGGAAACATAGAAACACAGTTATATCAAATCAAAAAAGCATTATGACCATACTGAATTATGCTTTTTATTTCATCTTTTATAAACTGCTGTTCCAAAGATATTATCTGGTTTTATACTAATCATCTTACATCGTCATGACTGCCCTTTTAGTGTTGATGCCCTCTCTCTTCATAAAAAAGAGATTGGAAATTTTTTGTTAGGATCCCATGGCCAAGGCATTAAAAACAAATAGGAATCTAATAAAATCGGACAACATTATGGAGAGGTGGCAAGAGGATGTCCCTCGATAAGTGCTTTTGTCTTATTTTACAGAAATCCACAGAAGCTAACAAAAAGGAAAGCCTTGGGACTAGTCAAAATACATTACATTACAGGGAATATAAAAAAGGCACACAATAAATAGTATTAAAACCAACATATGAAAAAACTGATAATCAACAGCATTTGGAAGATCACAGAAACAATAAAAAAAGTTTGATATTGATTGTTTTTCCTTTTTCAAATGCTTTCCAATCTATTCTATCCTGCCAGGAAGGTACAATATTCTGTGATAGCCCACTTAAAATTTAATTTTCCATTTTTACTTTGCATTCAAATCCCTTCAAGTGTTCACCTACAAGAGAACTCAAACAAGCTATGGCCACAAGCCCCACTCCTATGTCATAATCACACTTCTGTAAATAGCTTGTTTGGGATGGAAAGCCAGTGTCATATACGTATGATCCTTCTAGGTTCTAAAGACCAAGCAAATTCATGGTCTTCCATCAAACAATATTGCAAATATAAGCAGCTGGCTTCTCTACAGGTAGTCCCCCTTTAGCGACTGTCTTGCTTAGTGACCATTCATAATTACAATGGTAATGAAAAAGTAATTTTGTGACCAGTCCTCCCATTTATGAGCTTCATAGGTCTGTGAAGCAAAGGAAAGCTGAAGATCATAAACTCACGTTTCACTCAGAGACCAGTTTACTTAATGATCAAGTTGCTGGTCCCAAATATGATTGCTGAAAAGGACTACCTGCACAGAATTTACTCCGAGAGTCAAAATTCTGCCAAAGGGCAACAATGGTAGAAGATTTAATATCTAAAGGTATAGTCTTTGGAACCAACTTTGTAAAAACAAACATTTCTGCAACAGATGAGACTAACTGCTGTATGATTTGATGATTTTCCCGAGGTTTAAACCAAATATGGAATGGTGACTATTAAACTATTAACAGCTATTTGCAGCATACACAGTTTGGGTGGGGGAATTAATAGAGGGGAAAGGGTTTCATCATAACCAAGTTCTAAAAGCAAGTACAAAAGATAGCCGTCATAGGCTGGAAATCCCTCTATCTCGACATACAGATAAAGTGGAGTACAAACTCTACACATTAGAAAATAGCACAATGAATGAACTATGTACCCAGGGACGTGCCCCATAGTTTTTCTGTAGACACCTAGGTGACTTATATCACCGAGGTTTCGGACTGAGAAGAAAACTGGGTGGCCGAATTGCGATGCAATTGGGGTCCACTTTCTGAGTCATTTGGAAAAACAGAAGACCTGTGATTTTTGTAATCGCGGCTCATTCTTTCATTCAGACACCAGCTCCTCCATTTTCTTTTCAGCTCTCCTCGAACCTAAAAGCAAACAGGAAACCAGCATGGAATTTATCAAGGCTGGGGTTAATTCACTGTGGGATTAAAAACATGCTTAAATATGCAATAAGCCAACACAAGAGAATATGATTCTCTTCCCCAAACCCCAAAAACTTTAACCTTAGACTGTCTACTATTGACCTCACCCCTTTCCTAAGAGGTCTGTAGGGGGCGTGCGTAAGCGCACCAACGTGCCTACCGTCCCTGTCCTATTGTTTCTCTTATTCTTTTATTTTTCTTATATGTACCCATTTCATGTATTCACAACTATGTATACACTTATACTTATTATCTTGTAAACAATTGGCAAATCAAATAAATAAATAAATAAAATAAATAAAATAAATATATGTAGCTCATGGATGATGTTACCTAGTTGGGTAATGAAATGTCTGCCAGAAAACCACCAAGCTCAGAGAGCGCCAAGGGCCCCTCATACACAAGAAGGTGAAATAAAAGGAAAGGGGAATTATACGAAGGTTCCCGCATTTAATAAAACTGTATTACAGTTGTTTTTTCTAAATACAACTTGTTATGCTATGTATTGAAATTGCTTGACAGTTTACAATATGCTGTGCTATAATTGGGGTGCTGATAAAAACATAAAAATAGTAGAAAGCTCATTTATTCAAAGCATTCCAAATCTAAAGGTGTTAAAGTGGTGGTGAAAAAAACCCCAATCAAATCAATTTGGCACTAGACTGAGAAAAACCCAAACATCCCGGCAAAACAAGAACAATACTCAACAATAGGGATGTGTTTCTGAAGCTGCTAAGAAAACTGAAGTCAAGATACTTTTTATCTCGCTCTTAACTTCTAAGCAAAGATTTTGAACCTAAAAGCAAACACGAAAAATTCAATTACATACTGAAAATTAGGCATGCTGACTTGAAACTAAAACTCTCTTAGTTCAGGAACTTTTACTTCCAAATTTTGGATGCCAAATTAAAACCCAACAACTGGCAGACTAATATCTGAAAGTTACTCCCTCAGTAACTCCCAGCAGAAAAAGACAGTTGTTAACTGATAAAAAACTTGCAGAGTATCGCTATTTTTTTTTTTTTTTTGGGGGGGGGGGAGGTGCTGAATCCAATTAATGTTCACTAGAAGCAGTAACACTTAAGCTAAAGCTTAAATGTTTTGGATACATCCTATCAAAGTAAAAAAGGAACCAGATGTTTGAAAAAAAATCAAAGATAACTGAGGAAGAGGCCCACAGAAGGGAAGGTGGTTAGATACTTTCCTAATGTCACAAGCATGAGCTTATAAAATCTCAACAAATCATCCAGCACTCTTCTTACTTTACCCTAGACATTTACAATCCTATTTACTTAAGAACCCAATTTTTCCCTATTAGTCTTTAGCAGTCATCAAAGAACAAAGTCCACAAATGGCTGTTTCAAGTTTAGTTGGTGCTTGATTTGGTTTATACCAAGGTTTCCAGCTGGAGTCATAAACTATAATGTCTCTCCTTCTTTGCATTTTCTCTCTTTTGGGGAAAAAAAGGCCTTCCTGCAGAAACCTCCACTATTCCAGTTAGCTGAATGGCTGGGCTCTCATCTCCTACCGGGATGCAGTTGGTTTAATCCCACAGTCTTCTTCTTCTTCTTCTTTTTCTTCAGCGTTTGTCTCGCGCTCTGGCGAGGTCCGCTAATGTCCTTGAGTACTGCTTCCACGCCTCTCTGTCTGCCACGTATGTCGGGTCTGCCTTCGCGATCTCTAGATCGGCCTTGATCGTGTCCATCCAGCGTTGCTTAGGTTTAATCCCACAGTGTGTTAACTATATCCAGGCACTGTAGTTTGTAAACTATACTTAAAGGCAAAAATGGATAATCTGAAGTTCCAGGGCTGCAAGTGGTCTTTAGACTCATTTGAGGAGCTCCGGGAGCCTCTTTCAACCACACTCTGGAAAATTGGTGGCTAGTTTCAAGTTGGAAACACACAATAGAAATGTAAAGCTGAGCCAGGTTTAGTACATTAAAAAAAAAAAAGGAATGGAGGAAGGAAGTAAGTTACATGTGTTAAAAAGAATATTACCAGGAAAGAAGGAAGGGAATTCTTGATTCCACTCCTATCTGTGACAGTATTCACTTTACCACACAGTACTCCTCAACAAACTATGATTTAAAACAGTGATGGCTAATCTTTTCGACACCGAGAGGGATCTGGGTGCCACCTCTGGCACGCATGCCATAGGTTCGCCATCACGGATTTAAAACCTGCTATGGTTTTTGCAATGTTTAAAACAAGTTCCCTCTATTCTCACTTGAAGTGACCCCAATGCCCAGATGGCCCTTTCTTAGTCCAACCTCCATATACTAGAAAGTGGATCTTGGGGCTTCTGTCAACAACTGAACAACAGCGTAATTGTCTGAAATATTATCACTTCTCCCAATTTTATTACAAGAAGATATAAACTTACTTCACTGTTCAGAAAGCAGTACAGGATTGCAACAACCAGTCCCTGGCAAGGGCAAAATATTGACAAGTTAAAACACAGTAATAAAATTAAATCAAAATTATTTTAAGAAGAAAAATTGCTCGGCTACTACCTGAAAAGAACCCAGGCATAATTCAAAAATCATCTGGTAGTACTCAGAAACACCAAAGAGTGCAAACACCACATAGTGAACACCAAAGAGTGGAATCAGAAGCAGTGTTGACTTTGCAAGTCTCCTTAAAAATAAACACATAAAATAAGCCCATTACGATAAGTCAGAGCTCCTCTGATTTGTGTTTTGCCAAAAGGGGCCTCCATCAAGAGATAGATAAGAGACTTGCATTTCACTCACTTGTATTGTGACTGTTCATTGCCTCCCACATCTGGCGATCTTAACTTCTGCAGCAGAATTCTTATTATGCTAATGAATATGATAAAATTTACCTGTGAAAGAATTAACGGAGGTATTAATAATTGTATCAAAAGGCATAGTTTTTCCAGTTATTCACTGATAAGTTAAATCTTCTAATGATGTTCAGAAGAAAAAAAAACTTGCAATGTTTCTCAATCTTAGTAACTTTAAGATAGATGGACTTCAACTCCCAGAATTCCCAGTCCAAATTCTAGGAGTTGAAATTCATCTATTTTAAAGTTGCAAAGATGAAAAATATGGCCTTAATGCAGGGGTCTTCAAACTTGACAGCTTTAAGATTTGTGGACTTCAACTCCTAGAATTCCTCCTCCAGTCATGTTAGCTCAGGAATTCTTGGAGTTGAAGTCCACAAGTCTTAAACTTGCCAAGTTTGAAGACCCTTGCCTTAATGTGTGGATTAAAATTTACTCCCAGTTAAATATAGAAAGAATTACATTTCGGTGTATCTAACAGTATATATTAGAAGCTAAATATACATCCAATACGTTCATCCACTTAGAATCAATTCTCAGGGAATTCAGGGGGGCTTATCTTGGGGAAAATCAATATTGGGCTGAATTCTAAGAATTGATCACCTAGCAACCACAAACTTGTCCATGAATATTCAGTTGTTTATAAAGACATTGCAAGATAATTAAAGAGAGGGAAAATATATTTAATAATTTTATTCTCCTGAATCTTTTTAAAAGATTAATTGGCCTTTAGGTAATGAAATTTTAAAAGAGAGACAGACAGGCCTCTATAAATACACCTGTCCATTTGTCTGTCTCAGAATTATATTATTTCCTTAAATTAGGAGTTATAATAAGATTCTCTTCTGGTCCTTTACTAAGGTTGATTTTCCATAATTTCTACCACTATATTATTATCATTAACACTAATATTACATGTCATAACATAACTAGTATTACACATCATAACTAGTGGTGGGATTCATTTATTTTTCTGTGGGCATGGCTTGGTGGGCTTGGCAGGGGAAGGATACTGTAAAATCTCCATTCTCTCCACACTCCTGGGGGAAGGTTACCACCGGTTCTCCTAAACTACTTAAAATTTCCGCTACCAGTTCTCCACAATTGGTCAGAACCTGCTGAATATCACCTCTGGTCATAAGCCAGTTTAGTGGTTAAGGTACCAGGCAAAAAGCAAAGAGGCTGTCAGTTTAAGTCCCACCTTAGCCATTAAAGCCAGCTCTTTACAGGTCACCATTTGAAGTTATAATAGCATTGAAAAAAGTGACTTATGACCCTCTATGGCAATGCAATCACCATCTGCAAACTTTTCCACTGGCTTTGGACAAAGTCAATGCAGGGCTGGTGGGGAAAGCTGGATTTACTTAAAGATTGATGATTTACTTAATAAATGCATTGATCTGCTTAACATCCATAGCAAAAAAAAAAAAGGGGGGGGGGTCATAAAATTGGGCATGGCTCACTTAAAAGCTGCCTTGCTTAGCAACAGAACTTCTTGTCCCAGTTGCGGACAAGATGGGAGGATGACATGTACTTGCAATTTGGAGAAATACTGTTGAACTATAATTCTGTAAGTTATACATAAGAACTAAATTTGGGGCAGTTATAATATCAGTATCTAATATGGAAGAATGTTGACTTTTGTCGAACTAATGATGGGAAAGACTTTTCATCTAAATTTTTTGGCAGTTATGTCTTTTTTTGATTTTGCCCACTGGTCAGATTCCATTGGACTTGGGCAGCCAATAAATTAAAATAAATAAATAACATTTAGCTACTCTTTCAGAAAGCAGGCTAAGTTTTTTTAAATTCACCAGGGATTATGTAATAGAAAGAATGTCAATGGTTCAGTTTTTTGTTTTGTTTTTAGGACTGTGGAATTGCTTTCTATAGCGCGAATGTATTGTTCTTTCTAAATTTTTATTATTAGCTGCTTTGGGGGAACCTCAGCCTCTCCTTTTGGTGCTGAAAGGTGCGTTTAAAATTAATAATGAAAAATATTAGATTTTTGTCTAGACCAACACTTGTGCATGAAATTTCAAGGGATAAAAGCTAGTGTGAAAACTTACATTAACATAATTCATTTCCAATGCTGAATTTACTTACTAAAATGGAAATTAGGATTGGTACTCGTATAATCCACCAAGGAGCACTATGCTCATTTGTATCCCAGCAACTGTTAAAAAAAGGAAACAATGAATCAGCAAAGACACCTAATAAATAAAAATAATAAATCCTGTGTAATTGTACCATAATTGTTGCTTAACTCTAGCAAAATTGTGAGAAAATTTGAAAATAGAAAAAGCAAAGAGTACTACAATATAATTGTAAATCAGAAACAAGTATTATTTTTAAACTGTATGACAATGGATAGATGGGATGGGAACTACAGGACAACAATCTCTCTAGGGTATCATGAATTATCAGAGAGGCAGCTCTCTCTGGGCGTGAAAATTCTCTAGAGATAGTCACACCAGTGGAGTTGCTGCTTGCGGCAGTGTCATGAATCACACGTCACCCGAGGTCCAGATTCAACTTTTCCCGGTTCTGCGCATATATGCATCATAGCATTTGAGCGAGCCAATGATGGTAAGAAGACTGATGTCTCCGCAGTCTCTACGGCTCAAGCCCAAGGTTTGTAGCCCAATGCCAGATACAGTAGTCCTCGGTTGGAAATGATAACAGGGAGGTGGTGGACCGAGACAGATGAGTTAACGGCGGTCCAATGCCGAATATCAGCGACGCAATCAGGCTGTCTGTATTTGGAGACCTTGATGTCCCAGGTCTCCCGCATTCGATAACCGGACACAATGGAGACATCCACGATCCAAAGTCGGGTCATTGCCTCCACCAGTAAGTCTGGTTTAATAAAGGATGTGCCGGATGGTACGATGGGTTCAACACTTGGACAGAAGCCTCGCCAGTGCAACAACTGATCTAATCGTTGCACAACACAGTTGTGCCGTGCGTATCTGGCATCATGCATCACCTCGCAAACTTGCAGGACGTGGTTGTCTCCGGGGCTCGTCAGGCTCCCCTACATGTCTTATCGGTGATCTGTTGATTGGCACCTCGCACGCTCCTTGATCTCGTAGGGAGCATGCCACCCCTCAATTGGATCCCACACAGCCAGTCTCCTCTCTGGACACTGATTCGAAAGAGGAGAATGAGCCCTGGCACCTCTGGGCAGTGAGCCCAGGGTTGTTGGAGATGCAGACCAGGGGGCACAGGGCCCCAGCTCAACAGAGTAACTGCATCTGGAATGACTGAATGGGCAGCTGGCTGAGCTGAGTAAAGGAAGTCACAGCTGCAATAAGTTAGCCTGGAAGCTCCAAGTGAGAATCAGAGCAGCTGCCAGTGGTCAGCAAGGACAAGGAAGTGAAGTTAACCCATCCCTCCGATTCAACAGTTTGTAGGGCAGAGAGGTGACAGACCCAATACTGGCCGACCAGATTACTTGCAAGGAGGCAGCCTCCCCCATCCTAGTGGCCTGGCAGCTGTAAATGGTCCTGATGAAACAGATATCTGGACACCTTTCAGTCAGGATTCAGACCCAATTATGGAATAGAAATGGCATTGGTCTGGAACATCTTGCCCCCCGATGAGAGTTTCTTGCCCGTCCCTCCCTTTGTAAGGTCTTAAAAGACATGGCACTGCCAGTTGGCTTGGGGGCCCAGTGAGGGAACAGCACTGTGGAGATGGTTGATTGAGTAACAACAGACTCCCCTCACTCTGCTCCCCTCTTCCCCATGTGTCCTTGGGTTTTAATGTTTGATTTTAATGTTTTAATTGTATACGTAAAGACATATTTTGATGACCGTAAGCTATTATGATATGTGGCCACTAAATTTTATAAATAAATAAAATAAATAAATGTGTGAGTTGGGAGCTATATACACTTGTTTAATAAATAATATATTTAGAAACTAGGCTATTCCTTTTCAATTTTATAGGGATTTTATTTGGTCACAGCTTAGCAACGGGAAGACATTTTCTCTTTTGTTAGATCAACTGTTACAAGGAAGAGAGCAACAGCTTTACCCTCTGTCCACTAATATATATTTGCACACTCCTATGAAGTGTTCCACACCCATCTCCATTTTCTTCTCCTAATAGGTTACATACACAGCATTCCCATACTCCATGAAAGTAATTATCTTGTCCAAGGAGATGATCATGTCTCATATGATCTATTTTTGACAAAATCACGCTGACACTTAGCAATCAAAGCACCATTTACAAATTTACAAATGACATGCTTATTATTTGCTGTACTATAACATATTTCTATTAATATTAGGCTGACTGGTCAATAATTACTGGGATCATATTTTTGGGAGGAGGAGGAGAAGGAAAAGGAGGAGGAGACCACAATCCTTTGACATGCAAACTTGGAAGGAAGCCTCAATAGTCTTCCATGAACAACATCACTGTTGTAGGATGCATTTTTCAAGGCTTGGGGACTTGAAGACATTGAAAATGGTTCTTTTACCACATCTTTATTGACTTCAATCCTCTCTATGAACATTCTTCTAAAACCGATGCTATTCAAATGACCATTTCCTTTGGATACAGAAGCAAAATAGCAATTGACTTCCTTTGTATGGATTATATTTTGGGTCATCTATCAAGATTTTTCCACCTGAACTAACAGTGATTTCTCCTTTCTTCTGCCTTCCTCTTGTTATTGACTTATTTGAAGAAACCTTCCTTGTGAGCCTGGTGCTATTTTCTACCATTACTTTCCTAATCTCTCTGCTACATTTCTTAATTTCCTTGGATGTTTGTCTTACCTTCCATTCCATTTAAGCATCTTCTTCAGTTGACTCAGTTCCTTCATAAGCTGCCTGTTCAACTACATTGACTCATTTTTAATGTCTCCTAGTTTTCTTCTTCACTGATATTGTTAGAGATTCACTATCTTTAATTTCCTTTTTAAGGAAGCCCAGCCAGGTACAAGTTTTAAGATTTTCAACAAATCCAATTCTAAGTTAGAATATTAGAAAAATATTGCAAATATTGGATGGAGGAAGAAAACAACTTTTTTTATTTGCATTTTTGTATTTTTCCATGTCTTCACTTCTTTGACAAGTCTTCATATCATGTGGCAATCCATGTTTATCATCTGAGGCATTTCATATCTTACTGTGAATCAGCAAGTCTCAAAACAAAAGCCCATAATAATTAATGCGAAGTTGAATTGTACCTGCATATCACAAACAATATATACACTATGAAGGGCATAGACACTGCTTTTTTGGTGGTAGTTTGAAATGGCTTCCTACTTAATTGACACTGTTCCTGCATGATTGTAATTCCATCTATCAAGACCCATAAAGCAGGCCTTTTCTGTTGAAGCACCTGTCCTCTGGAAAGTTATCCCTCTACAGAGATCCAAACAGCATCCATCCTGATTATAATAGAAAAACCTATCTATGTGGTTGCCAAGCATCAACACCAGCTTGATGAGACATAATCAATCATTTTTTAAAAAAATGATGTTCTGCAACTCTTTAGAAGACTGGCTGTTCTCCCAGGCCTTGTGGGAGATTGTTTGTGGAGGTTGTGACAGAATTTGTCTGGATACTTGAGATTCTTTTTATTGTTTTCCCATTTTAAGTGTAAGCTACCCAGTATCAGGAGGCTTCTAAATCTACTAAATAAATAAATGATGTCTAGAATGGGCAACTGCATTATGGTCACGATCAGGTACGATGGAGAGGCAGGAGTGGGGGAAGGGAAGCAAGGAAAGAACACAGCGTTCAGAAATTACATCATATATTTCAGTTATTTGCTCTGCATTTTAAATAAAGATCATACATTAAATTCATTGCATTATATCTGGTTTTTTCCTCCAAGACACGAAACTTGTTTTCACATCAGCTATAGCCATTATTTTGGGGAACAAAGTTGTTACTTCTTTACTGTCCTTACTCTGTACCAGGACTGAGCCTATAAATGGACTCACCAACACCCCATTTGCATGATCTAGCATAGGGGTCTTCAAACTTGACAGCTTTAAGACTTGTGGACTTCAACTCCCAGAATTCCTCCTCCAGTCATGTTAACTCAGGAATTCTGGGAGTTGAAGTCCACAAATCTTAAACTTGCCAAGTTTGAAGCCCCTTGATCTAGCGTATCAGGAATGACTGGCTCAACTTGAATGATGAAATTTTGATTCAAAAGTGAGATCCTCACATTAAAAACCCCATCAGAAAGCCAAAAATGATAGAATTTTGTCGGCTGTGCTCTTTTTTGGTGGTCTCCTATGATACTTCAGAAGATCAGGAAGCTGTGATGTAACACTGAGCTTTTAAACATCTTCCTAGTTAAGCAAAGGAAACTAGCTCTGATAACTACAATTCAAATTCATATTTAACCTATCTATGTTATTTATACAACTGTTGCAACCTATGTATCCAGGATTAAATTTTGGACATCATACAAACAGAGCTAGTATCTTTTACAATGAAGCCTGGAAGTGAATATGCTTCTATTTAATTGGTCCTTACCCACTGTTCTCTAGATAGACTCTAGTTATTATCCATATGATGATGAAAATTGTAGGGATTCCTGGAAGAAACACGTAGCCAAGGAGGCAAGGGGAAAAAAAGAAAATATATAATCAATGCTTGATCTGGCAAAATTAATCATGCAAATAGAAACCACTTTGTAGGTGAAGTATTCAAATATGGCATAGCATGAGAATTGGCTGAGAGAAAGCACTAATAGCTCAACTTTGTGTTTCGTTTTCTGGACACACGTTTATTACTATTTGGTCTTGTCTCCATATTTTAAACCATCCTTAGTCATCTACAATTGGAATGGTGTCCAAATGCAATAAACAGCTAAAATGTCTGTACATCCAGAATGAACTACTGTATATAACTATGAGCAGCTGTCCAATGTGTTTTGAAACTGGAAATGCTCATTGAATATGTCCAAATATTACTCCCTGACTTGTTTCTGGAAAACTATTGATGCCAAGACTTTATTCTACCTAGCAACTCTGAATCTTCTTTTCAGTATGGTTCTCCATGCTCCTCCAGGGATTCTATAGTTGTCTCTCCAAGTACAGGTGGTCATCAACTTGCAACAGTTTATTTAATGACTGTTCAAAGTTACAACAACACTGAAAGAAGGGACTTGTGACCATTTTTCACACTTAAAACCATTGCAGCATTCCCATGGTCAAGTGATCAAAATTCAGATGCTTATCAACTAGCTCATATTTATTATGATGGTTGCAGTGTCCTGGAGTCAATTCACTTAACAACTGTCTAGCTTAGCAACAGAAATTTTGGGCTCAATTGAGGTCATAAGTCAAGATTAAGCACTAACGTAAGGGGACTAAATAATTTGTGAACTATCAAACTACATAAATCCAGTTTGTAGCAACAGCTCTATGCATCTCCATTAGTTTACCACTTGCTGAACCTTCAAAACAATAGTGGGTCAAAGATGGGACAGATACCAACAGAGACAACATGGAGTTTGGTCAAGTCTCAAATTCTAAGTAGGATTCCAAAATCTCCTTTGATCTTGAGGGGGAGGGAATAAAAAACAGAAGTAATTATATTGACTTTCTTACCCCATCCAGTAAGGAGATATGCGGTGAAGTGTCTGTTAGAAGAGAACATGACCATGAGGAGGATGTGGAGATAAAGTCCTTCAACTAAGAGCCAATAAAAATTGGCCATTACACAGTACTGGAAAAATACCAAACTAGCCTTGCAGCCGACCTGAAAGTTACAAATCAAGGATGAAATGTTTATGCAAAGAAACTGCTGTAACACAGTAAATGGTTTCCTTTGTTTAAAACCTCTTTTGATAGATACAAGCTTTGACAAGACATTTCTCCTTCCATGAATTTAGCTATTGATGGGCTGAAACAGCCTCTTTCAACTGTTTTGGACTTAATTCAATGAATGAAAGCAAATGCCAAGTGCTTTTCAAAACCAGGTTGAGACTGATGTACTTGATTGTTACCTCCTAACGTAATGGCATATCATTTTCGTCTTTAAAATCAAATATCTCTCTGACTTTCTCACAGATTTCAGGGCAAGAAGGCCCAGGAATTAAAAACGTCACCTCCTTTGAAAATCAGGAGACAGCGGAGGTATTAAAGACCACCCATTATTCAGAAGTAATTTGGTTTGGGAAACATGTTCCCATCCCCTTTTAAAGTTAGTTTATTCTACGGCAGCTGTGCCAGAAACAAAAAACAGCTCATGGAATGTACAACCCTGAGGAAAAACTGAAAAGGAATACTTGACTATTGTATAAGTAAAGCAGAATGAGCACAGCATAAATGATTCATTGCTGCAGAACTTTTATCACATGGACCATATTACAACGATGCCAACAAGTTAGGACTTTGAAGTCAGAAGTGGGCTCTCGAGAGGAGAAGAATATTCCTTCTTAAATTAGCTAAGACAGTCATGCCCATCTGAATTGTATGAGGCTGAACATGCAAAATACTGATCCATTGTTTTGCATTTTTGTCACAGAACACCTTTGTGAAAAGCCATGCCAAATTTAATTAACAGGAAGGAGAGGGGTTACATGAGGAAGCTTCATGCTGAAGACGAAAACACCTCCAATGGCTATCACATTCTTGGTTCTCATTAACAAAGCAGAAAGGAATTGAATCATAATATCTATAGATTTGAAAAAAAATTAATTGCCATATTTCTTCAGGCTGGCTGCTCCATCAAGACGAGAGTTTCATACTGAGCAGCAAAATCTCTAAAAATCATATCCTACAATGGTCTGAGAGTTCTCCCTGTCTTGTCCCATGTCTTGTCCCAGGCAATATTTATCTTCCCAAAATACCCGGGATAAGGAGTTAAACACTACAAAGGCTTCCATACAAAGTTTCTTTATTGGATTATATCAGGCATCCTCAAAGTATAACTCAACAGTTATGTTGAGATTCATCTAATGTCCAATCTTTGCATTGTTGTCTTCATAGTGTGAAAAGATTGTTATCTTCATCCCATAATGATACAGCAAGGGGAGACTCCAGCACGTTGCTGGGTCCAAGTAAGAATGAAGAAAACGCCCCCCCAACCCAACCAGAGGTCAATTCAGTGACCAATCAGGAGTACAGATGTGACCACATGACATGAACTGCATCTCCCATGAGGCATTCCCTTAAGGGTACAGCTCTCATTCCCAAACTAACTATATACTGTTTAACCAGCACATTCCCTTTGGTTGTGTATGTGTTACGACACTCTTGCAAGCACTGCAAGGCCTTTTGTGTTTACCAGAGTTGTTATTACATGTGCTATAACACTCTTGCCTGAAATTTCACTATAAATCCCTTCGTGCCCACTAGAGTTGTGTTTCTTCCACCCAAACTAAGCATGCTAAGGGCTGCTATCTTTATTTCTCAATTTCAGAAAGTTAAGATGCTTGATAGATTAATATTGTCCGGTGTTGACAGGCAAAACTACATACATGCACTCACAAATATCACTATTCATTTTTTTTAAAAAATATTCAAACTATCTTTCCCATTTCTAGCACCTCTCATTGTTAGGAAGTTAGAAAATGCATTTTGATTATGATGATCTTGCAAGTTCAGTGATAGATGGATCAAAGTTTCAGATGGAGAACTGAGAAGTGCTTTTTTTGCCTATTCCATTAGCCAGTAGTGATTTTACAATTATTAAAACTGAAATAAAGGCTTCCAGATCCCATTCCAACTTATTTCTATCTCTTTGGGTATATTAATTTCATCCCTTGATGTGGTCCCCCTTTTCATTTTTTCTTTAAAAAAACATCACTAGGCACAAAACCACGAGCCCCCCCCCAAAAAGACCCACCCCTGCCATTTACCCCCCCCGGAATTTTTATGTGCTGTGTAGCGCTGATCAAGATGTAAGGTTGAAGAAGGAGAACCTTGATTTAATCACATCAATCTGTGTATCTGTTGCATGTAATTCTGTCTTCCCAAAAGCAGAGAGGAAGCCATTACCAGAATAACTTTCCCCCCTTGCAGTTTTACTCTGTTCCAATTCTTTTCCGGCAAGCCAACAGAAGCTTCACTACCCTTGCTGGCAGTCATCTCATGTAAGATTTGATATAACCTACAATGATCTCAAAGATCATGGAAATGATACAAATGAAACAACTTCTTCACTTACCCAAGAAGCATGATCTGAACACTTATCTGTGCTAGTGTCGTAAAAGAGGATTCCATCTTTAATGAAGACAGAGACTGCCTTTAAAATGAAAGACAGGAACAGATTCAAATGTATGTAGTTCCGAGTGCAGTGAAGTTTCCTACATATGGAAAGAAAAACACAATGTAGTTTCTGGAACCAAAGTATAGCTGAAGTTTTTTCTACTTAAGGTAAAAGTAAAGGTTCCCCTCGCACATACATGCTAGTTGTTTCTGGTTCTAGGGGGCAGTGCTCATCTCCATTACAAAGCCGAAGAGCCAGCACTGTCTGAAGACGTCTCTGTGGTCATGTGGCCGGCATGACTAAACGCCAAAGGCACATGGAAAGCTGTTAGCTTCCCACCAAAGTGGTCCCTATTTTTCTACTTGCATTTTTACATGCTTTTGAACAGCTAGGTTGGCAGAAGCTGGAACGAGTAACTGGAGCTCACTCCATTACGCAGCGCTAGGGATTCAAACAGCTGACCTTTCAGATCAACAAGCTCAATGTCTTAGCCACTGAGCCATCATGTCCCCTTATTTCTACTTACCTTCTGTTATTTGATAAGAACTATTAAGAAAAGGCTATAATGTAGGTGTAACTCTTGAGGACCCCATACTTATATTTTTCTTTGCCCTCTGCTATTTTACAAGCTGCATCAAGTTTACTGTTAAGATATAATAATAACAAAACCTCTGCTTTTAAAGAGACAGTCCAGAAACTCCTGAGGCACCATACATTGGAGCTAGCAGTGAAAGATCAGGATGTTTCATGCTCCCTCCAAACAGCATAAAAATTAAACAGTTGCCCAAATGCGAAGTTAATCTAGTTTGCAAGTTCTTGTGTGACAAATGAGGGATCTTGAAGGATTTCACTGAAAACTGAGAAAAACTAATGCCTATGTCTTAACTTGAAATAATTGTTAAAGTGATTTATTTTAAGGCCTTTCATTTCTCTCTCTCTCCCTCTCCCTTGGAGGGTTGCAAGGAGGCACTATAGTTTTACAGTTGTGAAGGGGTAAGCCCAGCATTTTAGCCTGTTTTTGAAAGAGCTGGGCTTTGGAGTAGTTATTCCCTCAAATGTATGGCTGCAAGAGATGGATCATAAGGAAGCACTGAAGAATTGATGCTTTTGAATTGTGATGTTGGAGAAAATTCAAGAGTCCTTTGGACTGCAAAGAGATCAAATCGGTCAATTCTAAAGGAAATCAATACTGAAGCTGAAGCTCAACTACTTTGGCCATCTAATGAGAAGAGAAGACTCACTGAAAAAACCCTGATGTTGGGAAAGATTGAAGGCAAAAGGAGAAGAGGACAGCAGTGGATGTGTTAAATTGGCGGCATCAGTAAATTGAGAAGCAACCCTTTAACAGTTAAACATGTTAATTGGACATAACTGGTTACCCAGAGCTGCCACAAGTTAACAGGTTCACGTGTGGTGGTGGGCAACAGCTGACGCACTGACAGCCCCGTTGAAATTGCAGCTGTCAGACTGGTCAGCCAACAACTCCCGCCTGAACTGCGGACTAGAAAGAGTACCACATTGGTACGTAACACCCCTTTCCCCCAGCTAAAAACATGCGTACTCTCGTAAGTAGGTGGGGCATCGCCTGACTTGCCCCGACCTACGCGGCTCAGTTGGTAAAGTCAATGGAAGAGGTTCACTTGTAAGGCCAGCCGCCTTCTATAGATACGATGTGGATGCAGGAAGCTCTTGCTGGGTTGGAGTGGTGTCGGAAGGTAAGTTCTTGAGCTGAGACTCAGTGTTCGTCGGCTTGGGTTCGGAATTGTTGGTTTCTACCTTAGTTGGTCGGTTGCCATCTTGTCGGTCGTCATCGGGTCAATGATCCGTGGATGAACCCCATCGACCTCGCAATTGATCGATATGATGCCACCATATTCGGCCGTCAGATAGCCTAACTCTATAGGACTTTGGGCCCATGACAGCTATTATCTCCCCTGGTACCCACAAAGGGTCTCCTGCAAAATTCCTCGCATAAACTGGGTCGTATAATTTGAAAACCCTAAACTTGCTGGAGGAATCTAAGGGACAGCTCGGGGTGAAATTTGGGTGCAGCCTGTCAAGGCTTGTCCGCAAACGCTGACCCATTAAGAGTTCTGCAGGGGAGCAGTTAGTGGCTGCACTTAGTATCGAATACTGGATTAAAAGGTACTTGGCTAGTTTGGCATGCCAATCGTCCCCCTCCATCCTCCCTAGGGTCTCTTTGGCAGATCTAATTGCCCTCTCAGCCTGGCCATTCGACGCCGGCTGATAGGGCACAACCAAAACATGTCAGATGCCCATTTCGCTGTGAATATTTCAAATGTATTGGATGTGAATTGGGGCCCATTATCGGACACCAACACATCGGGTAGCCCATGTGTTGCGAATAACCTGGTTAATGCCTTTATTACGGCCTCTGATGTTACCGAGTGCATAAGTGTGAGTTTCACCCATTTAGAATATGAATCCACAATTATTAAAAACATATGACCCTTAAAGGAGCCTGCTAAGTCAATATGCACTCTCGACCAGGGGGCTCTAGCTGATTCCCATTAGAAAGGGGTAGCCGTGGCCGGTGCAGGCCTTGATAACTGACAAGCCTGGCAGGTACCAACTGTTTCTGAGATTTCAAGGTCTAAACCAGGCCACCAGACATAGCTTCTAACTATAGCTTTCATCTTGACCACCCTGGGATGCCCTTCATGTAGGCTTTCCAAAACCTGGGGCCTAAGCAAGTGGTTGTCATCGATCAAAAGGGCTGCCGTCGTTGTTGTGGGGTCTTTGACTCGGACTGGAAGGGGGCAGCAACTCAGTGCATCGGTGTTACAGAACAGCTTGCCGGCTCAATAGGTTAATGTATATGAATAAGATGCTAAAAACAGGGACAAAACAGTGATGTGAGGTGAAAGGAATGTAGGGATTTGTTGGTTACCTGCTAAAATTCCTAATAAAGGTTTGTGATCGGTTATAACTTCAAAACAGTATCTGAACAGGAATTCGTGGAATTTTTTTACGGCAGCTACAATAGCGAAGGACTCACTGTCTAATTGACTGTAATTCCTTTCTGTGCTCGACAGAGTCCTCGAGAAATAAGCGATAGGTGCCTCATGACCATTGGGTAACCTGTGGCCAAGGACTGCGCCAATGCCAAAGGGGGAAGTGTCACACACAAGAACAATTGGAAGTTCGCAGTCAAATTGAACTAAGACACTGTCAGAAGACACTAATGCTTTGACAGCTTCAAACGAGTTTGCTTCTTTTTGGCCCCAAACGCAAGGCATCTGAGCATCTAGCAGTCTGTGAAGTGGCTCATCCATGGACGCTTTGTCCGGTAGGAAGGAACTATAAAAATTCAAGAGTCCTAAGAAAGCTTGCAACTCCACCTTGCATGTAGGTGTTGGGGCTTCTTTAACAGCTCTAACCTTTTATTCAATGGGGTGGATTCCAGTAGCATCTATGCTGTAACCTAAGAAATCCACCTGAGGAACAGCGGATTTGCATTTATTTTTCTTTAGCTTTAATCCAGCCTTTTGAAAAGAGGCTAGCACTGCCCTTAGACGTGTGATGTTCATTGTGACTGTTTGTGGAGATAAGAACATTGTTGAAATATGGTATGATGCCATCCATGCCTTGAAGAAGGCATTCAATGATGCTCTGAAATATGCCTGGTGCAGTACTTATGCCAAATTGTAAGTGTACATTTAAAGGCTCCCAGTGAGTGACAATAGTTGGGGCTTCAGCAGCCTTCTTGTCCACGGGGAGCTGTTGATAAGCTTGGGCCATATCTAATTTTATGAAAATAGACCCCTTTCCTAAAGTGTGTAATAAATGTTGGATAACTGGCACCGGATAGGCATTCAGGTGTAAAGCCTTGTTCAATGTGCTGCAGTACTCTGCGCATAGGCGAATAGAACCATCTTTTTAAAGTGGAGTCACTATAGCAGTTTCCCACCTTGAGAAATCCACAGGCTGAAGGATTCCTTGTGAAATTAATTTATCTAATTCCGCATCTACTTTCACTCACAACGCAAAGGGAACCCTCCTAGGCTTAAGCCGGATAGGTGCTACCAGAGGGTCCAAATTGAACGAGATCGGTGTGCCCACGTATTTGTCCAATTTTTTGCTAAATACATCAGCAAACTCATTTAATAAATTGTCTAAGTCTTGGTCCATTGTTGACTAAGATTCCTTCCGCTTTTTCAAACCCTAGCTAAATGTCCCTTACGTTGACATTTTAAAGAGATAACATTTCTAAATCAGCAATTTGATCTCAAATGATTACCGCCACAGCTTAAACAGGATAGTTGTGATTGTGTTGGTTTGCTGGTGGGAATCCCATTCCTTTTTTGTTGTGTCAGCTGGCCCCTTAGTCTATGTATGTCTTCTTTGTCAGTTGAGGCACCCTCGGGGACCACATCCTCAGAGTGGATGGATGCTTTAGCAGCAGCAGGATTTATGGTATGCGGATTAGAATTTTGAATTTCCACAGCAGAGAGTGTGGATTGATCAGTGGCTATTGACTCTTCAACGGCTACTTTTAATGTAAGATTGGACCTAGCTAGGAGGTGATGCTGCAACCGAAGGTCACATATGCCATAGATTAACTGATCAAGTAACATATTGAGTTCTCCGAAACCGCAATGTAAAGCAGCGGTTCGCAAGGCAGCCATGTAAGAACTAATGGTCTCCCCTTCAGCTTGGGCTCCCCTTCTGAAAGCCAGACGTCTTGCTACGTGCGATGGTTTCAGAGAGAAATGGTTGCTCAAAACTTCTTGTACGCTCTCCCAAGAAACAGCCTTTAAAGTTTGAGGGGCTAACAGGGCGGTTGCGGTGTCGAAAACAGTTGCGCCACAAAAACTCAGAAAACAAGCTTTTTTTCTTTGGCTGGGAATTTCTGACAAGTCAGCAGCGTCTAGGAAACAGTCAAATCAATTAATATAGATTCCCAGGTTTCAGAAGTCGGATGAAAACACAGAAAAAATGGCGCGGACGTCATCGTGAAACGATTTGTGAGGGAAAAAAAATGTTTCTTCGAGCAACCACATCTCTATCAGTGGGACTACACTTAAAATGATCCCACCTTTGTCGCCAGTGTTAAATTGGCAGCGTCAGTAAATTGAGAAGCAACCCTTTAACAGTTAAACACGTTTATTGAACATAACTGGTTACCCGCAGCTGCCACAAGTTAATGAGTTTACGCATTGTGGCGGGCAACAGCTGATGCACTCTGATAGTCCCTTTTATACTGCAGCTGTCAGACCGGTCAGCCAATGAACAACGGCCATAACTCCCGCCTGAACTGTGGACTAGAAAGAGGACCATGTTGGTATATAACAGGATGAGATGGTTATAGTGTCATTGATGCAATGAACATGAATTTGGGCAAACTCAGGAGGAGGCAATGGAGGACATGGCTTAGCAACTGTTCAAGAGCCATATTATTTCTACATGCTCCATCCAGACTGCAGCTTCCTGTTCTTTGTAAAGTTTTCTCATGAAGATGGTGAGAAGTTCTGGGGTATCCATTTTCCTAAAAACATTCCCCTGCTGTTTATCCATGTAGTCTACACATGCATTATGAAATGATGCCTTTGCCATTGTTATTAAAGTGATAATTCACCTTTAGCATTTTCTTATATTGTTGTTCAATATGTTGGCTTAGCTGGGCACCTAAGAGTACCTTCATATCTTGGGGGACCCTGCTGGAGGGAGTACATATTTTTGACAAATACTCAAATGTTTTTCACAGGAGAAGAACATCCTTTGCATCAAAGGGGGAATCTGATTTTACAAATAGATAATTGAATTTCAGCGCTCACTTCTTTTAGCTGTCTTCTTACAGAGATAACTCTTTTCTACTAAATATAGTCTTTGTTTTTTTTAACTGTATATTTGCAAGCTATATTATTGCTCTATCGGGCAAGTACATATTGCAATTCCTAATTACTCTTTTCTTTATTTACATCCTAAAGATACAATAAAGAAAGGACTAAATATATACTGGCTGCCTGTCCTTTTTTTCATACGACTGGCACTGTCTTCTTTCATAAGTCTTACTAGTAGAATATTTTATTTATTGCCCCTGGGAAGGTCTTTTACAAGGGGGGGGAATGTTCTGCAGTGCATCCTGTCTTTCATTTTGTGAGCCTTTCTCTTATCCAATAACTCTCTTTAGCAATCTTCTCCAGAATTTGCCCCCGAACTCACAAGCTTTCTGCAGTATAACACTGCCCAGTTTAAATTAGGTTCACTAATCAGCACTGTTATTTAATAAAATAACAAATCTTCTATGGCTGCTGCTGGTCTAAATCCATTTTAGGCCCTGGATACATTGAGAATGTTGAAATTATGTTGGTACTCACATAAAAATGGCTGCCGAGGGAAAGCTCTGCCCATTCGGGAAATGGCTGAGTTGACGAAAACAGCCAGTCTCAAAATAACTCTTCTTCAGAAGACAATTCAATAAGGTTGTCCCACATAACCTCCTTTAGATCTCCTCAACCACTCACCTATTCTCCTCAGCAGGTGGGCCTCTTTGTTGGGACTGCAAAGTCCTGGGCTCCAGAGGACTGACAAAGCACAGGACTATATTCATCTATATATCTAGAGGGCTTGTCTAGGTTCCGAAAGGATTTTTAGAAATATAGGTGATACTGCAGAATGGCACTTTGGTCTGCACCAAGCCAGCTGTTTTCCATTTATTATTTTAATTAAATGGTTGCAATTAAACACGTCTGAACAAGTGAAAAACCTCAACATCCGGATCAGATTTTCTAGACTTAGAAGCTAAACAGCATCCAGCCTATTTAGACTTTGGATGAAGATCCCAGAATTTCCATACGATTGACAAGATAACCATGTGGTCATATCCTTCAAATCACCAGAAACTGACTTTGAATCAAAGGAGGCTTTATTTAAAATATAAAATAAGGGATCTGCTAAGTGACAAGCGAGAACATTACCTATTCTTCCATAATACCTGGTCCCTGCCATGTTTCAACAAACTTACCTGAAAACACAAAATATGATGCTTCCTGCGATCAGAGCAATGAGAGAAACACTGTGTCCGAGGGTATAAATCGCTTTCAGCCAAACATAGAAAACCTATGAAATAAACATGTATTTTAATTGATTACCATAAGCAGACATTTGGAAAAGATTCAGCAAGCCTTTTTTTTAAGCAAGTTTTATTAATTTCAGAAACAAACAAATCATCATCAACCATTACATATTTGAACCTTTTTCCATCATAAATTTTACAAGTCAGATAAAACCTTATCTTATACAATACAATTCTATTTTAAACCATTTCCATATGAGCATAAAAACATCTCTTATCCAATTTCTCTTTACTTCTACTCACTCCTATCCAATTTCACCACCATTATTTCATCTATTTCTTTCTGACTAGATTATCGTCATTCTCTTTCTGTATTTCTAAAAGGTTTCACCAATGCTTCTCAAAAACATAAACAGACACAAACAAACATATAAAAAATCCTTTAGTAAAGTAACTTGGCCCCCGGTACCTCTCTTTATATGGGCTTTAATTATATTCATGCTCATCTTATAGATCATTATCTATTTTGTTTACCATTCTATATCTTCTATATATACTTCTCCACACATTTCACTCTTCATAATTCTATCTTATTCAATCCATCTTAATTTAATTCATTATATTTGTATCTTTTGCCCATCCTTCACTATCCCTCTATCTCATTCCTTATAATGAAAAAAAAAAAAGAATTTCTCCTGAACTCACTAATCAGAGTATGATGTCTTTCTATCCTCTCCCTAAATATTAGATTAACATTTAAAATAACATCTAATACCCAATCTGATTCTGCTTGGTACATTCTATCTATTAATTTTTACTTTTAATAACAATAAAAACAGAGTAATAAATCAAAAATGTTTAAATACATAGTATCCTCCTAAATACATAGTTAAATAATAAATCTAAATAATAAATCTTATAGCATACATTTTAAAAATCAATCATTATTAAACATTTCAACATTTTAATTTCTTATTAACTCTTAAGCCATTCTAATTTTTTATTTCTAATACAAATGTTACAATACCATCTTATGTACCTTGCAAAATCTTTTTTAAGAAAATTTATACTTTACCCTTTATCCCTAAAAAAGATTCCTCTTTTCCCATCCAATTTTAAAACTTTGTGGCTTTTCTCCGCCTTTCCCCTTTCTTTCTTCCCCCACCCGATCTTCCTTCCCCCCCTTCTTCTAACCTCTGTCTTGCTGGCATCCCTTCTCTGTTGTATTCCCTTTTTCTCTTGTTTACTATCATTGTATTTATTTTGCATCATATTTTTCTCTTTCTTAAATGTTTTTTTAGATCTTAAGTCCTTCATTTTCCTCGCTTTCTTCCTTCCTTCTTTCTTAGATAAGTTTTGGGATTCATTAAAGATGGTGTCTTCGTCTTCTTCTTGTTGTTGTTCCATCTGTCGCATTGTCTGTTCATAGTTAACCAGCGCCATTTCTAAAAATAGAAAAGCTTTTTCCATGCCATCTTTACAGGCTGCTTTTGTTTGCTCATATTCATCCCTCAATTCCTCAAAGGAGAAAGCCATTATAAATCTTTTCTTTTCTTTTTTTCCCTCTTTCTTCTTACTCCAACCAAAATATTCCAAAAAGAAGGGAAGACAATCCCACAGTCCACAATCCTCAATCAATCCAAGCCAAGCCAAAATTTCCCCTTTCTCTTCCAGGGGTAGTGTCAGACAAAGGAAAAAAGAAAATCCAAATCTGTATTTTGAAGCCTTATTAAAATTTTATTTCTGTCTCCAAATCCTTAAGGCATCTCCTCCAACAAAATCCAACCAGATAAATATATTTTTTTTTGTCCTCTCCCTTCCGACTTATCCCATAAAGCCAGTTTTACCTGAAAAAAAACAAAACAGGTTTCTCAATATCCGTTTGTTAATTCCGTCGGGAGGGAGAGTAAACTTTCCTTTCAGCACCTCAAAATTGCCGCCTGCTTTCTTTTGTGAAAGAATCATCCAAAAAGCCATCACTTCCAGGAATTAAAGTAAATATATCTCAGAGTCCTGGATCGACCAAGAAGACTTTCACTTTTAAAAACTTTCTCCTCTTCCTCCTGCGCATACTTGCCCAGCTGCCGGCTTCTTTGTGGCGGCCATTACGGACCGCCGCTACACCGTCTTGGTAAAAGGGGGTTCTGCCGGCCAGGGAGGGGGTCTTGGAAAAGATTCAGCAAGCCTTTTAAATACAGTAGGCTATAGAAACTACACAAAATACGTTTGTACCTTTCAATGGAGATTTTTATTTATTTATTTATTTATTTACTAAATTTATATGCTGCACACCTCACTATTGAGGCAGAGAAATGACGTTGGTGCTCACCTGATACGCCCATTCTCTGGGAGCTGTGAAGAGCATCCAGGCCAGGAAAGTGCTTCCATCTGCTGTTCGATAGGCTGAGGACACTCCTCCCTGCTGCTTGTCCCATTGTCCCCAGTTTTGGCGAAGTCGAAGTGATTAGTTCATTGTTGTTCTTCCTTCACCATTGTTCTTTAATCTTGGCCAGGATTGGACCCAGGACTAGATGGTCTCTGAGTGGGGGTGGATGCTCTTCACAGCTCCCAGAGAATGGGCGTATCAAGTAAGCACCAATGCCCTTTCTCCTGTGAGCTGTTCCAAGCATCCAGGCCAGGGACATACCAAAGCTGGCGTGTCCTACGGGATGCTTTCCATCTGGTTTGGAGTCCCCCTTCTCGTGTGAATCCTCTGTAAGACATGTCTGCCGAAAGCTGCTTCTGCCAAGGCAAAAGCAGCCAGTCTATAATGCCTTATGAAGGGCAACAGTAATGATATCGCTGCCCTGCAGATTTCATCAATCGGTGCTTGGGTTGCCCAAGCCACATATATGGGAGCAGTCACAGGCAATGTCTCTATGTTGTAGGATTTTACAATTGTGACTCACAGCCTGTTGAGGCTGTGACTTTCCTGCCCAGAGTGGAGGGCTGGAACAAGACAAAGAGGGTCTCCGTCTTCCGGTGTGACACAGTCCTGTTTACTAGATGCCCTTCTGACATCTAGTAAGTGCCATTGTCTCTCTAAGGCATGGGCCGGTCTTAGACAGAAGTTGGGGAGGATCAACTGTGCCTGATGAAAAGCAGAATTTATTTTAGGTATAAAAGCCGGGTCTAGGTGTGGAATATACAAAGATCTTGTCTCACTGACAGGGTGGCCAGTTTGGATATTCTTCTTGCTACCAGGAATACCACCTTATAGGTAAGAAGGTGGGGGCTCATGGTTATCAAGGGTTCAAACGGAGGTTTGGTGAGCGCTGTGAGAACCTTGTTTAGATCCCAGGTGGGATATCTATGGACCAGTGGAGGTCTCAAATTAGTGGCCCCACGGAGGAAACTACGTACCCTCGGATGATGTGCAAGAGAACATAGATTCCCGCAGGAAATAACTGAAGCCAGTGCCATTACCTGTCGACGTAGTGTATTTGAGGAAAACCCCTTGTCCACACCCTCCTGGAGAAAGTCTAGCATGTGTGCCACTGATGGTGAGGTGGGGCCTATTTTTGTCTTGTCACACCACCTGCAAAAACTTGTACAAGTGGCATTATAAATGCGATTAGTGGATGGACGTCTCACCACCTGGATCATCTTGATGACTCTGTTGGAGAGTTTCTCACCTTTCAGAAGTCTCTGCTCAAACACCATATGGCCAGGTGGAGCCACTGTGGGTCTGGATGTTGTATGGGACCCTGAGTGAGGGAGACTCTGGCCAGCGAAATTCTCCAGGGGCCAGTGATCAATAGGTCTCTGAGATCCGCAAACCACAGACATCTTGGCCAGTATGACGTGATTAGTAGAAGTTCTGCTTTTTCCTCCAGGAGTTTCCTGATCACTTTAGGTATCAGTGGGAGGGGAGGGAAGGCACAGAGGAGACCCCGAGGCCAGGGGCAGTGTAGGGCGTTGGCTCCCTCTGCTCCCTCAGTTGGGAATCTTGAGAAAAATCTCGGTAGTTGGGCATTGAGTGATGAGGCAAAGAGGTCCAGGATTTGCTGGCCGAAGCGGTCTGACATCTCTTGAAAGAGTCTTGAGTGCAGGCGCCACTCAGAATGGTCGACAGTGGCCCTGCTCAACCAATCTGCTTGAATGTTGGACTGTCTCGAGATGTGTTCCGCCCTGATGAATCGATGCCTCTCTGCCCAGTGGCAGTCTCTCTGCCTCCCTCATGAGGGACTTTGAGTGAGTGCCCCCTTGTCTGTTTATGTGGGCCTTTGTGGCCAAATTGTCTGTCAACAGGAGGACATGCAGTCCTTGGATCTCCTGTTGAAATTTGTGGAGGGCCAGATGAGCTGCTCTCAGTTCCAACCAATTGATTCTGCAGGATTGCTTTGGGGGCCAGCGACCATGGGCTACGAGAGACTGGTAATGTGCCCCGCTTCTGAATAAGCTCACATCTCTGGTGATTATTGTCTTTCAGTGCGGTTCTCTGAAGAGGCAGCCCTTGGTGATGTTTCTTGTAGTCCACCAATGGAATGATAGAAGAACCCTTGGTGGGATGATAACCTTGGCCATGGCATTGCTCCTTCCTGATCTTTGGTATGGGACCAGAAACCATTGTAAGGTTCTGGCATGGAGGCAGGCCCAGGGAACAATTGCAATGCAAGAAATCATCTTTCCCAGTAGTTGGGATAAATGGGCCAGGGTACTCATTTGAGAATCCGAATGTGTTTAGACAACTCCCTGATGCTAAACTGCCTGTTTGGGGAGAGGAAATCCTCTCCTGTCACTGTGTCAATAATGGTGCCCAAGTGCAAAAGATGAGTAGTGGGTGTCAAATGACTTTTGGCCAAATTGATAGAGAACCCATGTTCTCGGAGTACCTGGAGCGTGGCTTGTACATCTAGTTCTGCCTGCCGGTGAGACGATGATAGTATTAAAATGTCATCTGGATCAGGGGTTGCCAATCTTTTGGATCTCAGGGACCACCAAACTCACACTTAAATATCGCGAGGACCACTAATATGATTTTTTAAAAAAGCTAATATATTTAATATAATTTTTATGTTAAATATACATTTTATTTATTTAT